GACGGAAGACCTCTCATTGCTCGCAATGAGTTTCTAGTTATTATTATTTTTCTTCCTGGGTACTTTTTTGTCCGTGAGTGATCTCCGAAACTACACATCCGATTGAGGTGAAACCTTTTTAGGGTTAATAGGAATGTTATGTAGATTTGCGGAACGAAGGTCATTTTGCGCGCACGCTCATGCACGTGCGTGCGCGTGCAATGCTCAAAATGACCAATATACTTGATATAGCTGTAACTTTTATATTTTTTGATGAAATGCTTTGATACTCAAAGTATAAGGATATATTAATAGTGTAGACAAGATGACATGGTCAGAATGCGCATGCATGCACGCGTGCGCATGCGCATTGATCGAAATAACCAATACAATTGATATAGACTTAACTTGTACAATTTTTGATGAATTGCATTGCAACTCAGAACATAAATATATATTGGAAGTGTACACAAGAAGACTTGATCAGCGCACACATGCATGCACGTGCGTGCACGTGCGCGCGCGTGCAATGAGTAAAATGACAGATATACTTGATATAGTTATAACTTTCATATCTTTTGATGAAATGCTTTGATACTCAGGATATCAGGATATATTAAAAGTGTAGACAAGATGACATGGTCAAAATGCGCATGCATGCACGCGTGCGCATGCGCATTGATCGAAATAACCAATACAATTGATATAGACTTAACTTGTACAATTTTTGATGAATTGCATTGCAACTCAGAATATAAATATATATTGGAAGTGTACACAAGAAGACTTGATCAGCGCACACATGCATGCACGTGCGTGCACGTGCGCGCGCGTGCAATGAGTAAAATGACAGATATACTTGATATAGTTATAACTTTCATATCTTTTGATGAAATGCTTTGATACTCAGGATATCAGGATATATTAAAAGTGTAGACAAGATGACATGGTCAGAATGCACATGCATGCACGTGTGCACATGCGCAATGACTGAAATAACCAATACAAATGATATAGACTTAACTTCTACATTTTTTTTATGAATTGCTTTGAAACTCAGAATATAAATATATATTAGAAGTGGACAGAAGATGACATAATCAGTGCACACATGCATGCACTTGCATGCACGTGCGTGCGCGTGCGTGCAATGAGTAGAATGACCAATATACTTGATATAGCCAAAACTTTCATATCTTTTGATGAAATACTTTAATACTCAGAATATAAGGATGTATTAATAGTGTAGACAAGACGACTTGGTCAGTGCACACATGAATGCACGTGCGTGCGCGTGCAATGAGTAAAATTACCAATATATCTGATATAACCATAACTTTTACATTTTTTTATGTAATGCTTTGATACTCAGAATATATAGACATATTATAAATGTAGACAAGATGACATTGTCAACATGCATATGCGCGCGCATGCAATGCTAAAATGACCAATATACTAGATATAGCTGTAACTTTTATACTTTTTGATGAAATGCTTTGATACTCAAAATATGTATACATATTTATAGTGTTGACAAGATGACACAGTCATCATGGACATGCATGCACGTGCGCGCGCTTGCAATGCGTAAAATGACAAATATACTTAATATAGCCGAATTTTTTTTATCTTTTGATGAAATTTGAATGTAAAGATGTATTAAAAGTGTAGACAAGTTGACATGGTCATTTTGTACATGCATGCCCGTGCGCGCGCGTGTAATGCGTAAAAACCCCCAATATACTTGATTGCCTTATTTAATGAAGCTTACAGGGAATAAGACACCAAAAGGAAGTTGGGGAGCGTTTGGGGAACATCTGTAACGGTCCCCGTTACAATTAATACTAGTTTAACATGAGCTTTGTACGTCAAATTTTCGGCACAAATTTCAACAAAGTACAGGTATTTCTCAATTAAGAAGATGTATGCTCCCCGCCTTTCATTTCTTTTTTCTTTAAAGATAAGCTTTTTGAACATTAGATAATGCATTTGCAATGTTAACAACGCTGGGTATTATTCCCATCTGATATGTGAAGGATCGTGTTTTTAATCCCCCGTAATCGAAGATTCGGGGGCACATAGTTTTTGTTTTGAACATATTTTATTGACAATGTGTCAAAGGGATTGGGCACAAGTTCCAAAAACTTAGATAGTCCTCTCCCATGCATAAAATCTTGATAGCCATACAATATTTACAAAGATTCACAATTTTACAATATTAATAATATACATGAACATAGAAGAACAAAAACAATAGCTATTATTGCTAAGGAATATCAATTGATATTATAATAGTGATGAATATTATAACCACAAGAACCATGTTGTCGCCCGCGTGGCGCAGTGGTTAGAGCGTCTGCTCTAGAGTCGCGAAGTAAGGAGCTGATCCTTACGTCGCGGGTTCGAATCCCACTGTGGGGCGTGGAGACCGGTCCTTCGGATGAGATCGTATAAACCGAGGTCCCGTGTCGCAGTAGGTGCTGGCACGAAAAAGATCCCTCACTGCTCAATGGCCGTAAGTGCCGAGTAAAGGACAAAATTTGCAGCGCTCCACCGGCAAGTGGTGGCGTCTCCATATGAGTGAAAAATTCTCGAAAGGGACGTTAAAACAAAGAACCATGTTAAAAATAGTTTCAAAATAGGTAGTAAATACAAATAAGTGTTAACTGGAACGACCGATATAGAGTTTTTGCTTGTCCATCTGTACGTTTGTGTGTCCGCAAAAACGTTAACCTTGCCAGAACTTTTGATTGGTTGGAGCTATGGCCTTCGTATTTCACGTGTATACTTTTGAACGGTTTGTGCTAGGTCTTTCATGTTTCACGCGTGTATTCTTTGTGACAAGATCTTCCAATGGGTATCAACAATTTTGAGGTAATTTAAGTTGGCGTATGTTAGATAGTCATATGATGGATTGCTATAATTTACCTATACTTGTATGCAGAGGTACTTTGGGCAGACTTGGAATCATCCTAGGAGAAACCCCCGGCAGTGCATCTGTCTCTAACGACATCTACGTTATCATTGCTGTCCCTTCAGCATTCGTCAGCATTAACTGATGTTCTTTATACAGGAAGTATCTCAAGTACAAAAAGCAGATTTTCGACCAACTTTCATTCAAACCGGAAGTGAAACAACGCCATCTCAATCATTTATAAACATGTTTATTATATTTCTTCTGACGATTATTATTTTTCAGATTAAGTTATTTTTTTAATTAAGATCCGTTCTCAGTACGAGTTTATATGTACAAAGCATTGAAAAGTGGAATATCGATATATGTGTATATAATATGTACATAATATTACTAACGTCTTTTTCAGTTTTCTTGTGTACATGTATATAATTAGAGTTAACTTGAAAAATAAAATATCAGGAAAATGTGTATTTTGATACGATTAACCGATTAATCGGTCGGAACGTCTTGCGGTTAACCGAGTAGCAATTCTGCATTCGATTGCCATCCCTAATATATATATGATGTTTTAGATCTATAACAATAAACAATAATTACATTGATATTTTTATATAGCTGATAATTAATTTAATTTAATTTAATAGAACTAGTCATCAAGCATCAAGGTCCTTATTACCAAATGAACACATTCCCTTTTGCTGCAATGCACAGGATTTTAATGAAGTTCTTTTAGGTTTACTAACTTCCATATGTTGAAAATCAATAATTTCGATAGTTAAATTTTCTATATAGTATCTTATTTAGGGATAGTCACATTTGAGCAATTTTTTTCAAAAAATAAACAATGCATGCTCTGTTTTTGACAGATTATTATTTAATTAGTTTGACGTGAATATCAATATAAAGAGAATGGAGAGATGATTTACGGTTGATACACGAAGCTCCCCTGAGATTCTACTCTCCTTTTCTAGTGATGAACAGTTTTGTCCTACGTCAACATGACCTGTCTTGTCTTTAAGGTCATTGGCATGTCGTGTTTTATCTGAATGATCTTCCTTGCAGAGTAAAGAAGATGGGTGAAAATGGAGGACAAAATCCCTATTAAGCGATGGGTAAGAGTGTGTAGAAAAAACTGTTCCAATTTAGCAAAAAAAAAAAACAAAAAAAAAAAAGAGAGAGAGAGAGAGATCAGTTTTTTCAAAGCAACTCCATGATTATCAGTCTAACCATTAATATCTTTTTAAAATTTTATTGATGAGGATTCCTATATTATTTTTACATTTCAAGTGTAAACTCGATTCCTCTCACCTTAAAATAACTGCTCCTAAATAAATGCAATGTTTTTGTCAATTGTTCCAACTTGAAATAGATGGAAAAAAAAATTACAATATGTCGCAGCATTATATGCTTAGAGCTCATAATGTACCTTATTAACCTGAGTTTTAAGTTGAAAAAACTTTGTAAGCTTATTCTTTTTAATTGTACTTAAGAGATGCACATAAACCAGGAAACAATATGCACTTATTGACGCCTTTTTACTCGAGGGAACAACACATATGCAGGACAGGGTAGATAGTACCTGCAGATAGCGCGGGGTCAATTCATTACATACCTTTCTATCGTTACATATGGTTCCTGTTCCGATGCCTTTGACGATGGGATGATGATGCAATCTACATGTCGGCTAATTACCCGCAGTAAATTGCACTCAGTATAGAAGTTTAATTAAGCATGTGGGGAGCGTAAAGGAATTCACTTTCTCCATCTCCACTTGCCACTGATGTTGTGAAATGCTCAACCCAAAATAATCCTATCCTTTATTTCGGGCGCTCTTTCATGAAACCGTATTTACCACGTCTTAAAATATACGTTTTTGATTTGATTGGACGCTTTGTTCACTTTATGGGTTACTGAAGTTCCGAGTAATACATGCACGTACTCTCTTTGTGTGGAAATGAACTGTAGCAATTATAGATTAGCATGTCAATTTCCGGTATTATTATAGTTGATAAAGTTTTGTTTCTTCTGTCAGACTTCGGTAATTCAGCTTTGTCAGTATGTACTTCTTAGTTTTTGTATAAAGAAAGACAACTCTTTCAAATTTTGTAGAAAAGTATTTTAATAAAATTTAAACAAAAGAATCTAACAAGATGTATATAATGTTTTCGCAAGAAGATTAATCTTCTGTTGTAACAAGAACGATAGTACGACCAAAAGTTCGTCAGAATATTATCTACAACAATCACAGGATATTGTCTCCTGAAAGAACCTCTGAATGACCTGATACATTTTAATTGATAGCAGCTAAATAATTTCACATCTAGAGAGAGGAGATTGCATCTATGCCTTGTTGATAAACTGAGCCAGTGAAGCTAACAGGATAGCCATAAACAGGGAACACTGGATACCAGCTGAAAAAAGACAGGAAAATCAGATAATTTGAAAAGTTTATCATTTGGATTGGCAAGCCCATGGATCTATCATATGATTCATATCGATATCAAATACATCAATACATGATCGGCTTTCAGGGATACTGTTTGTGTAAGATTTATTTTTTCATTTTCACAGAGGATCTAGTTTTTTTTCAATTGATTTTTGCCAGTAAGACAAAATTAAACTCAAAATTTCGATTTCCTCAACAGAAAAAAAAGTCGGGGTGGGGGGGAGGGGGGATTAAAAATAAATATGTAGTATGATTAAAAATCCAAACTTTACCCTTGTGGAGTAGCCGATAAATATTGGTGTTTTAATACTTCAATTTAAAATGATAAAAATTGCCATCTCAAAAGTATGATTATTTCAAATATAGGAAAGTTCTCAATTTGACTCTTTTTTCATTTAATAAATTAATTAAATTTTTATTAAGTGATAAAGAAAATTCTATAATTTGTATGTGTGAATTTAATCTGACCTGCAGTGTTGCTATAGCTGATTCCTGATACAGAGGACAGGGCTGAGAGCTGGGAAGAGCTTAGGGCAGCTCTCTGGGAGGCGGTGACGGCCTGGGCTTGGGCAGGTTCAAAGGTGTAAATCTGGGTGGTGGTGAAACCCTGAAATAAAAGACAGATTCCATGTTTATAATTAAACAGTACTCGAAACAGTATATACACACAATATCAATATTTTCTGTAAGAATCTAACTTGTCACTAGACTTTTTTATAACGTACCGCAAAAGCTGTGGACGGAATATGGGACATGTCAAAGGCAGAAATACTGTCAATCTGCGTTTCCGTTAGACTTGAGATTTCAGAGGCAGTCAAACCACCTGTAAAATACAGGAAATCACATGAGTCACAAAAGATGTGTTAATAAATGGAAGTTTTTCCATAGAAACCAATTCAGCATTCCAAACATCAAGTTGTTTATACCCATCACAATTCCCACGCTGGTTATAGTGGCACTGTCCCACTGTGTGTAGGTCCCGTACTCGGTCTTGGCATGCGCAATCCAAGACTGCAGTTGGAATTCTGAGCAAGATGTGACTTCGCCAACAGTGTCAGCAGATGCCCTGTGTTAATGAAATCAAGGAAGTTTTATTGAAACAAAACTCACATACTATTTCACTCGAAACTATCATTATAAAATCATGCTCCAATCCATTTTTCTTTGTTCTTACTTGTAAACTGAAGAGAGAATAGTAGCAATATGGCCGGTGCTGGCACCGCAGGTCATGTGACCGAGAGATCGGAGCTCACTGGAGGTAATGGTGGCAGGATTTGATGATTTTTCATAGGCCAACCAGCGGCTGAATACTGCTTGTTTCTGCAAAAATACAACTTGGTTAAACAACCGTTTTATTTTTTAATTCATCTAAAAGAAGGGGGAACTATAGTTACTTTGCTGTCAGTCCAATCACTGAAAGTTCCCATTCGAGATATGGCGTCCAAGTTGATGGAGAGGGTGTCGATCTCCGCGGTTGTCAATCCACCAATGAAGGATCCGGCGGAGTAAACATTAGTGGTGGTCCAGGTAGACGGTGTGTTCCAGACCTATGATAAATCAGAAAGAAATGATACCAGACAAACAAATTCAATACAGTAGAAGCCTGGACAGAAATTCAAATGGGAATCTTACTGTTGATCTTTTAGCAACTGCCACCAAAGCCTCCTTCTGTGCCTCAGACCAGTCAGTAACAGATCCTAACAGTTCAGCACAGTCCTTGAAGTCCTGATCCTGAATGTTGCTGATCTGAGTTGTAGACAGGGCTGATAATCCGCTTGTTCCGATAGCTGTCAAATCCGTGCATGTCAAAGGAGCTAAAATCAAGAGAAATCAGTATTTTGTTGAATCAAAACACTTTCTTTAAGAATAGAAATGTTTCCACCTTATTTTATACAGCTTGACAGTCTGTCATAACAAGGGAATGTGAGACATACTTGCAGATCGCTTCCTTCGTCCGGATGCCTGCTGTCCTCCCAGGCTTTCCTTGACACCGACGATAAACTTCACCATCTTCTTCTTCCCTGCCTTGAAGCTCTCCTCTTCTGTGGACTCTGATTCCTTGGACACTGCATTCTTCTTCCTTTCTTTCCTCTTGTCCTCATTCTCCTTGAAGGACTCCATTATTTTATCTGTTGCATCATTCACTGTTTCCTGCAATCCCCAAATTAACGTTTTTTGTAGATGTTGCTTAGTGATGGATCAGAACAAAAATATTCCGGTTATTTAAGCACTATCTACATCAAAATGTCAGTATGCTTATTACAAAAAGTTGAATGACATAAATAGACGCGATAATTTAAGGTTCTTTACACTATAGTATAGAGTAATACATGTATCTAGTCTATGAAAACTAACCAATTTAGATCATCTGACAAACCTTATCCATTGATGCTAGTTGAGAGTCAGTAAGTTCTGTTGCAAAGTTTCCGAGAACCATGAATCCAGATGACGTAATCTGGCTTGTGTCTGTCCTACAATGTAAACATAGAAAATAAAACGACGGAACCCAAATTTACACTAGAAAGACCTAGGCCTCAGCAGACTTTAACATACATGGACATCTTGCTGATCATGTTTGTGGCAATCTTTTTTCTGGTGGCGGATTCTAGGTTGCATTTCTGAAGAGAGGGCCCCATTTTTTCAAGTGCATCGGCATCCATTCTGTCAGCATCAGACGAAGAAATACCACCTAACATGTTTCCCGCCTCGGAAAGGTCATCAGAGGTCAAAGTACCGGTAGTCTTTCCCTACAAAACAGCCCATACGTACAAGTATCGTAACTATTTCCAGAAATAGGTACTTTGGTTTACCAATTCAGCGTTTCTATAAGTAAGTTAAGTTAACATTACCTTGCATTCCTTAATGAACTCAAATTTTTCTTTGATTTCATCTTTTGTAAGTCTTTTGTCGTCTGCCTCTGCCAAACGCTGAACAATGGCATCACAATTACTTGTACCAAACTTCTTCAACTCGGCTTTACTATTAAAAACGGAACAATTTTTTATGAAAACAGTAAAGTTTATATCTATTTACCACATAGTTATTTTCCAGTTTAGTATTTACTTAAAAACTTTGAAGAGAGATAGTGGGGAAGTATTTGATAGTTTCTCATGAAGTAAGAGCAGATCATTAAATTTACCTCAACTTGGCGAGAATCTCGGGCGCCATGTTATCGACTGTGTTGCTGTCTATGGAGGACGAGAATGTTGCCTCGTCTGTAGAGTCGATTTTGGAGTAAGTTTTGTACAGGTCAGTCAGTGTTTTCAACTGTAATAAATGAATTAAATTCGAAAACTATATAGAAGTCAAACAAGAATTTAGCTGTAATACAAATCAGTTGTAATTCAAGAATCTCAACTGAATGCAAGAATTCAACTGGTAATCACAGGTGCTTGAGGACAGGAACCCCCCCCCCCCCCGATATAGACCCCGGGCCTTTTCGACTTTTTTCTCAGAAATTATCTTTCAATTACATATTTGTGATATACTCTATACCAACAATTCGAAAAATTACCTAAAACAAACATTTTATAAAATCTACCCCACTCTCTACATATAAATCAACATATATAGGGTAGGGTAGTAATTTTTATAAAATGTTTCTTTAAGTCAATTTTACGAATTGATGATATAGAGATTATATCACAAATGTGTCATCCATATATAATTTATGAGAAAAAAGTCGAACAGGCCCGGGGTCTATATCGTGGGGGGGGGGGGGGGGGGGGGTCCTGTCCTCAAGCACCTGTGCTGGTAATACAACAAATATCATAAACATCATGCCTGGAAAGATACATTTCGTTCGTTTTGTTTATATGGGGAGTATGCATATATGCAAGTGTAATGTAATATAAACTGCAAAATAAATCATTTTCAGTGTACTGATCATGAGCGTCTCTGACCTGTTCACGTGACATTTCCGGAGCTTTGGCGATGGTGTGGATTTTGTCTGAGAATGTACCGTCTTGTTCGATGTTCTTCATGTCTTTGTCCTCCAGTCCGCTCAGGAACGGCTTCATGTTGGCCAGTCTCCTCAGAGTGAAGTTAGAGTCAGTACCGTTAATGTCACCAAGTACGCTCTTCACTTTCTTCATATAAACTCGGGCCTAAAAGTATAAAGAGGGTGTTGCAGTTCTTTTGTTATTTTCCCTAAAGCTGTAGCAGTTTAAAAGAAAAATTTTAAGTAACAGAAAACGGTCTTAATTTTTTTCAGATACAACAGTATATACAGCACAATGTAGAACAATATTTGCAAAATGCATATCGACTACCAATTTGCCATTAAAAGAAGTGTAAATTAGTCACATAGCAAAATAAGTCAAGTTTTCTGTTTTTCAAATAGGGAATCCCCATTGTTCTGAAAAACTGCCTGTTTGAAACAGAATGAATTTGATATACGCATAAAGAGACAGGAATTTTCTTCAAAACTGCCATTTCCGATTTTTGTTTCAAAGAGGCATATTTTTGAAAATCACAAAAATCGAAGAAAAATTATTATCCACCCGAAATGAAAAGTGTGTACATAAAATAGCACACTATACTACAGTGTCGGAGCTGGTCTAGTGGTAAAGCGTGTGGACTCTACGCAAAGATTCTTTTTACCTGAGAATGGGTTCGAGTCCTGATATGGCTGGTATATACATTTTTTTCTTATACACTATAATGGAAGTACAATGTAACAACTCTCTTGAGAGAGAAAGACAGAGGGAGAGAATGTCAGAGAGTTAATGGGTAATATTTTAAATAAATGCAGAATTAAATTGTTTTCTTTGATATTGTGTCTAAAACTAATAAGACATACATTTAATGTTATTATTTAGTGGCAATGTCTTAAAAAATAAAGTACTATCTCTTAAAATAATTTAATTTATTCATATTCATTTCGTTTCATTATTGTTCTGTTAATTAGTGGCTCAGATTTGACTTGAAACAACTAAATTGAAATGACTCAATGGAATTTCTTGGATATTGCATCAATAGCGTAATTAATGGACACATTTGTATATAGTGAAAAATATTAACGCACGCTTTTTACAGTACATCTTTCAAAATGATGTGCGAGTCTATTTAGGAAAAAACTATGCATGATATTAACATAAAATGTGAAATGTTTCGTTATAACAAGCTGGACATACCCGCTGTATAAATAAAGCCATCTACGTAGCATTAACTATTTTTAGAGATAACTCTTCATGCGTCGTGGGTATTTGAATGACCTTCTCGATTTTGGGAATAATCACGAGTTTCTGCAACACCCTCTTTCAGGGGATTAATGCATATCTTCACGAAAGTCAGTTTATCCTTGAAAGCTTAGATAAAACTAAAAAAGGCATTCTTATTGCTAACTTCTGATTGGTCTAAAAGAGATTGCTAGTAATGTTTTAAAATGTTTTGGTCTATCGTTTATTTAGCTGTCCATCGGACTCTCCCTATTTACTGACAAAAACAAATTTACGAACATAGTTGATACAGAAGAATTTCGATGAATAAGTATATTTCTATAGTGTACTTTGTTAATAATTAATGTTTTATGCTATTACATAAAGCTTTTAAACCTATTAACAGTTCTTCCATAACACGTTACTAAATAGTGCAGAACTGTGGCTCCCCGATAAAATCATAAGAGGTCGTCCAACCCTATGTTTCAAACCAGCGAGCTACAAATTTGCAGCTAGTTACTAAAACCCAATAGGTTAAAGAAAAACGCAGTTTAGAAATGGTTATAAAATGGTGTTTAAAATACGGACAAGTCCATGATCACGCCTAAGATCAGCCTGGAGGATATGGAGAATCGTTGTATCTCATGTTTGATTGGTGTTAGGTCAGAATTGTTCTACTGTTTAGCCACGAATGACACGCGCAACATGTGACGGTACATTGTCATTTTGCAGAACTATCTGATTTGTAATGAACGGGATAACATTGTTCTGGAGAATTTTCCTGCGGTACCGAATCCTAGTCCGTTTACCATTAATGGCCACCAAAGGTTCTGCCATTAGTTTTGATGCTTCTTCACCAAAAGACTGACATTGAACAACTCGGCAGAATAACCTCTAACTCTACAATTTATTGAACCCTGGATCTTCCGTCTTGGCAATTTAAATAAATATGTAAACTATAAATGGTTTTTTGTTGTTGTTGCAAGTACTGCGACTCAAACCGGAAATGTTGCCCACACCATTCAAGTCTCGCTTTACAGTGGCGTTGCGGCAGACGTTGTGCAGCAGGCTATTGTGCTATTCCTTATAGAAAAGGTATTGACAGTCAGACGACGTTTGGAAGTTTCCTAAGGATCGCAAGACGTATGTGCATTACCCGGTCTTTATGAAGTCACACGAAGATGTCCACTCTTAAGAACGGTCTCCAGTGATACCTGAATCCTATGCGTCTCCATATAGACCATATGATACCCTCATTAAACCCTCTGCGACTTCGATACGTCATTATGCAGAAAACGGTGTGTTCCCCGAACGTCTACTGGACTAAACCAACATCTAATTATCACACTCAATTAAGGGGCCCTCTAAGGGGTACAGATAGGATCTACAATTATTTATGAACTAGCTTTACCTGTATTTATTGAAGGAGGAATTCTACAGCAACAATAATGTTTGAAATCTCTTCTGAAACATGGATTCAGCATGGAAATATTGATAAAAGATATTTATTGTTTTAACATGATTTTTTTTTTCAAGGGAAATGTAAAAATCTTGAAAATTTTATGCATTAGTTTAAAAAACGCTAAAAATAATGTGTTTTATTTTCATAAATAATTTTTTAGCAAAGATTAAAAAAAAAGCTTATCTGATTTTTCTTGACATTTTCTATTAAATATTTATACATGTATTATCCATTTATTTAGGGCAAACTTTGAACTCTAAAGGATCTTATTTGCAATTAAAACATTCTTTTCATTTTCTCCTTAAAAAAACCCCCAAAAATTCATAAAAATTAATTTAAACTAAATAAATATCAATCTTTCCATACTTAATCCATATTTCAGGGGAGATGTCTTAAAGATCTGTTAAATAAAATTTCCGTGAACATGTAAGAATAATAAATATTGAAAATAATTTATAATAAATTATTTATTACATGTACATGAAAAAATATTTAATTGTTTAGTGCCTTCAATTATAGCAAGTATTTAATCTATAAATCTGTGCTTTAGTACACAGTTTTATCAGTAAATATTAAATTATTTGATTTTGACTACTTTGTTCAATCAAGGTAACACAGGTAAACTCTACCTGGACCCCTTAGAGAGCCTCTTAATTGAGTGTGATAATTAAATAGTTGTTTTAGCCAGTAGACGTTCGGGGAATAAACCCAGAAAACCAACTCCCTGAGACACTCATTTTTATTCATTCATGCAGGGCATTGCTTACCGAATAATGAATTTAACTTTGTATTTCCAATTTTCTAGGAAGGCAAAATTAATTTATTTTCTTCTTTTGCATTTCCTGAGTTGAATACATTTACACAAACAGTCAATTACCAAGGGATGAATTTTCGGGGAATATTAAAATTTTCATCTAAAATCATGAAAATGAGGACTATGATTTTTTTTAGGGGACAGAGAGGGCGATTGCAACTAATTTTTAAGTGTCAAAAGTCATACGATCAGAATGTAAAATGGTCATTACGTCCGCTCTAGAAGTTGAATGGATGTTAACGTTAATACACGAATTTATTCTGAGACATACTCATGAAAACTGTTGTACCAGTGAAAATTCTAAAAGACATTGATGTGAATAGTGGAATTTTTATTCCATCAGGATAGATCAGTCTCTAACATAAATAGTGTAGTAAGGTAAGTATCATAATAGAGAAACACTGTTCGTCTAGATTTAAAAAAAAAAAGAGGTTTGGAGGAGATATGGGCTCTTTGATTGCATCTTCTGAACCATATTTATAAATATTTACATCACCATTAAATGCTAATTTCCTTGTGATTTGCATTGAACACTGGTGTTCATTTTATCTATAAAAACAACGGGCACTGACGGTGTATGACTGTACAGTCATGTGACCGTTCCCATTTGCAGATTTTTTTTCCCATATACAAATGTATTGATCTACAGAATTTTAAAAAGAAAGATATCCAAGTAAACAAAATTTTTCGGTGTCATTTCGAAATTCTAATGAATATATAATAACAAAAAGAAAACCTAAGTAAATTGGCATTTTCAATCATTTTAAAACCTCTTTTGAAAATGTTCAGAAATCAGTCACACTGTGAGTTTACAAAGACCTGAGAAATCCTCCATACCGGGCCCTATATGTGCAAAAGCACATTTATCTAGACAACCTTGATAAATAATAAATTACAAACTCAAAAGAATTGACGAGAAAGTGGAAGAAACCAATGTCACGTTGGTAATCTATCTTTTCTCATTATAGACACCATTTTTATTTCATTTATATGTTTTTTTTTCTCGTTAGCTTTGATATTTTTTTTATCTCATGATATGAGTATTGATTGTAGTTAGCTATCCATTAGAAAACCTTATTTTTAATCGAGGACATTCTGAGACGATTGTAGTTAGATATCCATTAGAAAACCTAATTTTTAATCGAGGACATTCTGAGACGATTGTAGTTAGATATCCATTAGAAAACTTAATTTTTAATCGAGGACATTCTGAGACGATTGTAGTTAGATATCCATTAGAAAACCTAATTTTTAATCGAGGACATTCTGAGACGTTTGAGAGACCTATATAAGGGTGAAATCAGTGGCCCTTTTGATTATTACCTGTTTCTTGTTGCATTTAATTGTACTCTCGCCATTATCCCCCGTCAGGTCCGGGAAGCTTGAGATAGGGGCGTCTTCCAGATCGGCAGTTGACAATTCTTTACCCAAACCATTGGCAACCAACTTAGCTATTCCACCAGACTGCTTCTTAACCTGGTTAGTATTAAATATTGATATAAAGTAAAAAGTTATAAGCCTGAATAATTACGGTTTTTATTTCAAATCTGTTTTAAGCAAATTTTATAAGTTTCAAAATAAACTTTCCTCTTCACACACTGTACACTTCAATAAGACAATTTACTTTAAAAATTATATTTAATTAAAAAAAAGGGTTAGCGAAAGCAGGCTGAAAGTAATATGGAAATTTATTTAATGAATTTTAAGGAAAGCAATTTTAAATTCTAAGATTTTTCCTTCAACGAAAGCATCATGCTTCACGGATATAATTAAAGGACTTACTTTGTCGACAAGTTTCATTTTGAGAGACTTCTTGGGTCTGTCGTCTGCGGAGAAGGCCGACTCAAAATCGGTCAGAACATCAGCTGTAAAGGAGGCGTCCGGAATCTTGTCAATGTCCGCTGGTTCAAAACATCCTAGTGCGCCCTTCATCTTTTTCAGGTCAGCGTCAGAAAATCTTCCCTAAAAATAGAAAGATATCCAAGCAATCCATGCTTAATCATAATCCAATATTGTATGTCTCCGTAAAATAATGTGGCGTGTGCCATGCATCTTGACCTTAATACCTTAAGGAAGACGTACTTTTTGCTTTTCTCAGTATATATTGGTAGGTAAAGGAGTGTTCGGATAGCTTTATAATGGCATTATACAAAAATGTGAACTTACGTTTGGTTTGTTGAATGCTGTCAGTGCATTTTCCAGAACTTTCTTTCCCTGAAAAGTACAACATCATACATTGATTTTTATTTACCTAGATGTATCAATTAAAATTTTGCTAATTTTGAAGGTGCCACTGACCATTTTTTTCGAAGTCATCTTCATTTCCTTCACATTGCCGGAAGTAAGGGCAGACCGCAAGGCAGAGTCAGGGATGTTATCAAAAGAGCTTTTCTTCATGTAAGGCATCATACATCCCATACAGGCGATAGTGGACTGGTCAAAGGCAGATGGATCCCTGAAAGATGGCTGCTCCATCACAACCTCTGAAAACTTCCTCAACTACAAAGACGTGGTTGCCATATTGAGTTTGTGTGATCATTTATATGAGTGTTTGCAAGAGACAAGATGAAGCAATGAATATGTAGAAAAAAATCATGTTGATCAAGCGTTATAAAAACAGGCCCTGATATGACAATCAGCTGTCACGTATTCCAGTGTATCGTTTTTTTCTTAATTACAAATAATTGACCTTTCAATTACATTGCCAATCTCTTTTCAATTCTGACGCGCATCAGTTGTGTAACGTCAAACATACTGTGCAATTCAAATCTGACTTGTAAGACAGACAGACTTGTATGTGTGTTAGCTCTGTTGTATTTACATCAAAGTTGTATGATTTATTTTGAACCTACGACTTAACTCAGATTTGAATGACTTTTATCAGATGGGTTGACTTACGTCTGACTTGTCAATGTCGCCCGCTCTACTGCATACGTCACAGGCCGCCCCCTCGATTGCCGAGGCGTTCATCTGTCGCAGTACCTTCCGGTCATTAGCCAGAGCTCCAACAGCACTGTCGACAGATTCAGACAAGGCTGTTATATCCAAGTTCAAGAAGTCAACATTTACTTAAATATCATTAAGATTAAATACTGACTTTGCAATTTCATCCTTTGAGAATTCAGAAGGCCTCACGGTTTTCAAAGCATCTTCTACAAACTTGATTTTTTCTGCCCTCGATGCTTTGCTTAGATCAGCAGTTCTCAGTGTCTGAAAATTATATTACGATGCTTTATGTTTTTAATTTAAACAATGTTCGCTCATTAAAATAAAAATGAAGGTTTTCATTATAATAGATCTCTCTATGAGGCTATTTTGTAGCTGTGAATTCAGCCATAAATATTTGATTGAGCGAAACCATATTTGACACCATGGTTTTATGTTCTAAGAAGTTTACTAGAACTAAATACACAACTTTTTTAAATTTTACGGTTCATTTCATAGCTTCACAAAAAAATAAATAAATAAATAAAAAATGCAAGACAAATTGCCTTGTACTGTATATTACAATCAAACACAAATCAAACAAACATTTATCGATAATACATTTTAAAATTACCGCCTATTATATATCCTTAAAATGAAGAGAAATGCTGCAAAATGATATTCTAGGGCAAACCAATCACTTCTGGATAAGACGGAGGTAAAGTTATACGAGTATATCAATGGCTTCTTCTTTCCTGTTCCAAACAGCGCATATGTTTAGCTATATAGTAAACATTGAATGACCAACCTCTTTAGGATCTAGAACGTCTTTGAAAAACGATGGATCCGCGCCACATTTAGAGAGAAGCTTGACCCAGTCATCTTTTTCTTTCTGCTGCATTTGACCTCTGGTTTTCTTTTCCTTGATCTTTTCACTAGTAATGTTGGCGAATACCTGAATGTCCCGCTTACTGAAGTCACCGCACTTACCACTCATCACATCCATGCTGCCAAGTAATTATTACAACACCGTGTTAATCACTTATAAAAAACCATATTCGACATCTTGGGATTGGTGTTTTATTTAATAACAAATGTTTCAACAAATAAATATCTTCCCTCCCCTCCTCTTACAATTTAAGTTTATGCTGGTAAGACATCATCTAGCATTAGTGTTTAGTAACATCCCTTAAAGGGGCCTGGACATATAGTTGCATTAAAGGCTAACAATTTTAAATGTCAATTTTTTATTTTAAAAATAAGTCCAGTTTAATGATTTTAACTTGTGTGAATTTTGTAAGAATTCAGTGACAACAACATTCTTCATGACATCACGTCAAACACCTGTGTTTGTTGTTTAACGTCCCTCTTGATAATTTTTCAATCATAAAGGACACGAAATCTGTTACTGTGTTTACGTTTTACTGGGTGTGTTCAATTTGTTTAGTCTGCACACATCACTGAGCTCGGACTGACAATACTGGTGAGTTGATTTGCTTTCTCACATTTCTACTCGAAACTTTCTGGATTATAGTTTTCATATTTCCATGAATACACATAAAAAAATTCTACTTTTCTTAGATATTATGGATAAAGTTTATTTTGTGAAAGCGCAAGGATATGTGTCAATCAAACGCGTCCCAAAAAAATCGTAGTTTTAATAATTTCTAGATAAAAGAATTTTCTGAACACGCTTTATTGTGTGAAATGCTCAAGCAACATATAAGTCGTGATATATAGATATATATATATAGAGAGAGAGAGAGAGAGAGAGAGAGAGAGAGAGAAAATATCAAATCTGTGTCCCAGCCTGTTTAACAAACAAACAGTTTTCGAACATCGTGAAAATAACAGACAGATCTAAAATAGTAGCGTCTACCTTTGATGGTTTTCTTGAGTTTTTAAAATAAAAAAAATGACTGAGATCTAGCAAATACGTGGGGTGGCTAAGCTCTGTTTTATAAAAACGTTTCTTTCTTCAAAATTCCCTTTCTTTATGCCTATTTGCAGCAGCTTTGTTAGCTACAAGAAAATCAGCCTGGGTACAGATATTTGAACTATATACCAAATACACTGAATAATCCAGGTATGAAACCACAGGCACTTGTTTCGTAGATACCTAGCTCAATCTCAGACATCCCCGCTTCAAGCTCGTATTTTGTTAATACATCAATCATTAACCTAATTGAACGATAAAACCAGAGACCTCGGAAAGGAATACTCGGAAGTTTTCGGATTTATTCTACATTTATAACCCAACTAGAAGTCTTTGTATCCCATTCAAAGTCTTATTTTGTATCGAGGTAATTTTTGAGGAAGAAATGAGTGGTTTACAGTAAAGAGGCTCGACCAGAGACGTCCGAAACGATTAATTTGGCAAGAAAAAAGTCTTTCGAAGCGAACGATATCATTTTAAAGTAGGTTAATGATTGATGTATTAACAAAATACAATGTACGAGCTTGAAGCGGGGGTGCCTGAGATTGAGTTAGGTACCTTGTGGTAAAAATAAGTAGGGGTGCCCCGTATACGAAACAAGTGCCTGTGTATGAAACCCTGTGAGACCCTCAGCATTCCCCACTTCCGGTTGATTTTTTAGTCGTTAATTTTTAGTGTAATTGTCTCTTTCATGGATAACTGATTACACTGTGAAGTCATCATAAGAATTGATTGAACGTTAAATTATCAAACATTAATTGAATTTTTAACAGGTCTTTGTTGTTTGATATTCGAGACCCTAGAGACGGACTGTTTATTGTATAGAGATCTGTTTGTTACAAAGTTTTATCGAGGCGATGGAGAGACATTGTTTTTCATTTATGTCCTGTTTCAATATTTTATTTAATGGTTTGTAAATATTAAAAGTAAAAGTTTTATTTATTCTTCTGGTATGATAAAGGTAATATGCTTTACCGGAATTTATCGAAAATCAATGGACATTTGATGAAAAAGACCCTTTGTATTTCGTGCATTGGATAGCTATTGGCTCTGTTTTCATGGGGACTCGGAAAAAAAACATCTTATAAAAAAAATATCTGAAAAGTCTGGCGGCCATATGTAATCTCCAATGATTTCTAAATTAGAACGTGTTTTATTCACTTTGTTAATATGAGATCCAAATAAACTCGGAGGATAATTAAACATAAGGAAAAATTTTTTTTCTCTACTTTTTTTTTTTATTTTATGTGTTTGGAAAAGTTCTTTATGTTCATTGCGTTATTGTAATAGTTTGCCATTTTAATGAAACGTAATTCAATTCTTACAATGGTCATCAATAAAATGTAATTCAGTTCTCACAATGGTCATCAAATAATGGTCACAGAAGAACTTACTGAATTCCCGCCGACTTCTACACTTTTTAACTGTCAATATTTGTAGGACGCACATTCTTTTTCGGCTTTCTTCTAATTTTTGGTTTTCTTTTTTTTTTTAAATAATCCAAACGGGAAGGATGCGAAAAAATATCGGAACGTGGAATCGGTAATATTTATTTCAATTTATATCTAATATCTGAATCTGAAATTGGGATCTACTCTTGTGTAGAAAGCATCGTTGTATCGTTCAATTTAAAAAAAGAAAGGCGTCAGTGAAAACCATGATCCTTAAATAGAAAAAATCTCATGTGATTTTAGCTTTTATGCCTTTTAAAAAAAGTTTTAACAAAGTATTCTTCTAACATTTGTTAAAAGAAAAAAAAAGATGTCCGCTGATTTGTATCTGGTAAGGTTCTCAGTCAATCACAGTCCGTAATGTCATAATGATTTTTTATCAACAGCCAATGCCGTAGTTTGATCAACTCCATCATTTGTACTCTCGTTAATGAATACTATAAATATGTAGCAGTATTAGTGTATCTGTATATTTGTGTACTGGTAGTAAGATAAAGCCTCACTTAATTATTAGCTTATAATCGATAAACGCTGGATATTATCCAATTTTACTAGAGCCAGTTTCTGAACCCAAAACTTGACCTGCGTTTAACACTTGTATTGGAAAATCATACACGCTGTTCGTAAGCGCTAAATACTTGGTCATTTCATGCACATTTTTTTAAAGATCAAACAATTACTTTGCCATTATTAAGATTTCTTTTTATATGCAGGCGGACTTTAAACGGAATATAAAAGATACATAAAAACACTGCTGGAAATTCGAATTAAAATTGACCTCCTGATCGTGGCATCTTGCCAACACTTACTTGTCCATTAGAAGATCAGTTGGGGCAGCTTTCAGACAATCGGCTTTGAGAATTTCCGGAAAGTTTTGGAGAGTTAGGTTCCACTTTTCCCTATCCCAAGTTTGACAACTTCTAACGTCCATCATACTCTTTGCGTCCTGTTTGCTAATGGATTTCCCACCATCCTTTCCAAAAAAAAAAAAAAAGTTAATTGTTATTTTATCTGAATTACTAAATTTTTCAGGAATATTTCACCTTTTTATAGTAGTTATATTAAATTTCAATTTTAAAGACGCAAAACTCTTATGTGTTTAGTTCTCACTTTTTGAAATAAATTTTATTCAGATTAACTCACAACGAGTGCGCGTGCGCAGTTGATCTTTTTGGTGATCATCGTCCTGGTCATGCAGTCCATATACCTGACATCCTTACAAAGCACCACTTTTTGCCTGGCATCCATGTTTTGGAACACAAAAGTGCCGTTCTGGTCCTGGTAGGGAAATAATTATTTGCATCAAGTATCTATGGTTGAGTAACATATGTAAATACTTTTTCAGTTTGCAGCTGAACTTAAAGTTTTTGTTCAGAACAGGCCCGTAGCAACGGTTAAAAAAAATCTAACAATGAAGCAAAGTAAATAAATAAATAAATAAAAATAAATAAATGAATAAATACATTAGTTATAATAAATCAATAAATAAATAAATTAATTAATTAATTAATTAATAAAATTTATATTAAAAAAATAATAAACTGTCAAAAAAAGTGGGAAGGAGGAGGGCAACTTTCCAAAATATCTGACAAGAAAAAACAAACAAACAAACAAACAAACCAAAGAAAAACACCAAGAAAAAATGTCCAAATCCTGGAAATTGCCGAGAAAAAAGGAACAAAAATGGGGGGGGGGGGAGCACAACCAGCATCTAAATGAAAATTTACTATTGCAAAATACTATTCTCAGAAAAAAAGTAATTTTGGCACCCCCTCCCTGCGTTCTGTTGGCCTGCAGAATCAGGAAAGTAACTTAATAACGGTGTGCTGATAACTTACATTGAGGGAGGAGAAGACTTCTTTAGGGAACTTCTTCATGTCGTCAGAGCTGACGGAGGAAGGATCCTGCATAAAATTCTTCAGTTTGTCCCTGGTATTCCTGTCCATCTTGCCGTAAAGATCAATATGTTTAATCATTCCACTGCATGTTCGGGAATCCATGTTAGCTTTGAACGCTGTTTTGAAGGTTATATGGAAAAATGTTATCCAAATCATATACTGAATTTACATTACTATGGAATAAAATACATCTAATATTCATTATGCAGACTAATAATGCGTGTAACAAAACGAAATGGCGCATCAAAGAATGTACTCACTGCCTAAATCCTTGATTTCTTGGAGAATATCCTTCCGCTTGCTGGTCAATCTATTTTCAAAATCTGCCTTGATGTCCCCAAACTCATCCACAGCTGTACACGGCTTTGACAGGGGATTCTTCAATTTTTGACAAACTGGACATTCTTTCGGACACCGGAAGTCTATTTTTGGTTTGGGTGGAAGGGTAAACCCGCCAATCCCAGTGCCCATGGAGGGACGAGTCATACCTCCGGGTAAGGAAGGACGGGTAAAGCCTCCTACAGACCCGGAAGGACGAGTCATTCCTGGCATGGAAGGACGGGTAAAGCCTCCTACGGACCCGGAAGGACGAGTTATTCCTGGCATGGAAGGACGGGTAAAGCCTCCTACAGACCCGGAAGGACGAGTCATTCCTGGCATGGAAGGACGGGTAAAGCCTCCTACGGACCCGGAAGGACGAGTTATTCCTGGCATGGAAGGACGAGTAAAGCCTCCTACAGACCCGGAAGGACGAGTCATTCCTGGCATGGAAGGACGGGTAAAACCTCCTACGGATCCGGAAGGACGAGTCATTCCTGGCATTGAAGGGCGAGTAAAACCTCCTACAGACCCGGAAGGACGAGTCATTCCCGGCATTCTGGGATCAGTCGTTGGGGGCTTGGATTTTTGACCAAATGAAGCTCCGGTCATGCTCGGTAAAGTGGGTCTCTTTTGTCCATGGACCATTGCTGAATGAGAAATATGCGAACATGTTCCATCATTATCACTTACGCGCAGTAGAATCTCAAAAATCTCGTAAGCACAGACACTCTTTCCTGGCCTTTTACCAAAACCATACACGTACGAGAAAATTATCTTTGACATACTTACCCATAGACCAACAGCAAACTAGAGAGAGAGAAAAAAAAACACATCTTAAATTGGTAAGTAATTATTATAATTCTACATTATTAGAAATTTCCCAAAACTTGAACCATTTCCAGACAGCGATATATCAAATGTTCAATAATAGTTATTTTTGTTTCGACACCATTACGAGAGAAACTGACAAAGACACATTTCATAGTTTCCCATAAAAGATATAACAAATATGTCGTGATATCCCCCTTACCGAGGAGGATCAGTGATGTGGCGGTCTTCATGTTTGCGACTCCTGTCCAGCAGGTGCCCTCTCTCTGTGAACGCACAGCGTCTATTGCCAGAGCAGTCCCAATTGATCAATATATATACCCGATCTTTTAATCTCCTTGTCATGGTTCGGGGTAGATATATATACATATGTATCTAGGTCGGATGTTTAATGCAATTGACAATTGCGCCAATGGAGCGGCAAGAATACGTAAATCAAAGGAACTAGTGTACAGCAGTATATTTTGTTCTCTGAACCTCAGCATCTTCGAGCTTGGGGACAACGAGGATTTTGTACAGCTATTCATTTAAATATATTCTCTTTCATCCTTGAGTTAATGGCTGTTTGAAATGATAACTTGAACACACTGCTATACGAATAAACATTTCATTCAAATGTTAACCATTGTGGTTTTCTATTCCTGCATCAGGATTAATAAGAATGCAGACTTTAATTTGTTGTGATCAATAATTTATTAAGTTCACCTATAGAATGAATCTATTTACGTGAATAATTTCAAAGATGGCATTTGATAGAATCTTTATTATTTTAAATTAAGTTTTAATTGCCCAGATGACACTCTCAATTTATAAAGTGTACGATATTGTTATCCAAAAACACATTTCGCTTTCACTAATTTTATGGTGATTTAAAATATATTACAGTATTTGCCTCCTTTGTTATATTATTGGGCTTACAGCCTAAAACAATATTATGTCGGTATCGAATTAGATCAATTTAAAATTTGAAGGGTTCGGACAATATGTTAAGATCTTGTGTTCTTCACAATGGACAGGAAATCCTATTACGGATTTACATTACTTGTCCTGTTTTAATTCAACAAAAATGCCATGAAGAATTTTAACGTCTAATGCATATTAATGGTTGCTCATCTAATATTCTTTTACTTGAATATTTGCCGTCATAAAATTAGAATGTAGAGGCAAGTTTACAATCTGACCATTCAGTATTTAACAGATTTGTGTCTAACAATTCCAATCAAGATCGTTTTGACCTAAATTTTGATATGGCATAGTATTTTAATTATATCTACTGAAATAATAAGTTTAAAATTTAGTTTCACCATGTTCTTTTCATTACATTATCTAAAGATGAAACAATGTAATTCAATTAAAAATATATATAAATAAAATGTTTCAAAAGATTCCTCCTCCTGATTAAGCGCGATATTATACACTACGAAGTTAGAACCAGGATTTACGATAAAATTTAATTGACAAGTTTTAATTATTGCCAATAGTTTGCATTGTCTCAAGGCTGTCAATTTGGCGATTTAAGTATGCGAGGCACATGTATTTTACAGATGGTATAGTGTAAAATTTGAACCAAGCTACAAAAGAATTTTTGAGAAATAAACCTTTAAAAACACTTTCGATACAAAATCGTTTACGTCATAACTCATTCCTTGACCAGTCCGAGGTGTGACAAGACCAAAGCTCATGTTCTCATGTCATCCATTCTTGCAGTTTAATGCTTCGAACAAATATTGTTTTCAGAAAATTTTAAAAGCTTAGGGAACAATGACCTATAATTTACTTACTACAGTGAAATAAGACCAATAGATGGACCAGTCACCTTATTTAAATTTGTTTAAAGGTCTTAATCAGTAGTGTAACACCGTAATTCAGTAACCTTTGAAATGCATTATAAAGTTTCATAAGGAATTAAAAGTATGACATTGTTCATTTTATCCACATAAGTTTTTTTTTTGTCTGGCACTCCTTTGTGAATATCAGATTAAAATCGAACTAAGATTAACTGTCTCTATAAAACGCATGTTTTCTATTGTTGCATCAAATGTAAATTTGTGTCTCTTAGTAAATACACACATTGTAATTTTTATTTCTATAATTAACACAATGTATTCTTTGACGCTCTTTCCGATTAATTGCTTATATTAAGTTTTAAAAACTTCTAGCGAGATATTTTCACTCATAACCGTGACAAAAATATGATACTTTTTTTTATAATCATTTTATTATTTTTGTTATCATTAGCCCCCCTCCCTCAAAAAAAAAAAAAAAAAAAAAAAAAAAAAAGACAAAAAAAGAAAGAAATTAAAGAAAGATCTTGCTTTTCACAACCAGAAATTGTGTGAGAAGGTTGCCTAAGGGATTTCCACATGCAAATTCACTGAATAAATACTTTTTATAGTTTTTTCCACGATTATCATACAGTACTAGTCACGAGAGAAAAAACAAAGCAGAGAACTATAGACTCGTGGCCTTGTCAGACTTCAGTTGTCTGTAAGCACCTTGAACATATCTTGTTCGGTAACATCATGGACCATTTAGATGCGGATTCAGAAAACGCCGTCCTGTGAAAGCCAGCTTATGATAACGTTACAGGATCTGACTAGGAAACGTAGACAACAAGGGACAGACAGATGCCATATGACTGTACAAACTCGACTATAAGTATTACGGGATTAGAAAAATGTCATCTGCAATTGGTACAGGACTTCCTAAGTGAGTGCACCCAACAAGTTCTCTTGGAGGGAACTACTTCAGATACATCCGCAGTACAAGCTGGGGTACCCAAGGGTAGTATCCTCTGACCACCCCTATTCCTTCTATTTATTAACGATCTACCGAACTTCACTGTATATGTACAAGGAATCAACTGCACATGCACCTATTTTCAGATGACATCAGAAAGTAGGATATGCCATGAATCTTTAGGAAGACCTTGATGAGCTCCAGAGATTGGAAAAAGAATGGATGATGGAATTTCATCCTTGGAAAAACGAGGTTTTGCATGTTACAAACAAGGGGGAGGTGGTTAATGAACTTAATGTCACGCATTGTCAGGTCCTCAAAGTAGTTGAGACATGCAGCTGAAATGAGAATCCACTACATCAAGGCCTGAAGTGGAACCATCATAATTACACCATATTGCAAAAAAGGGCAAATTCCACTGTCGCCTTTTTTTTAGATATGAAATTTACACCATTGTCCATTAGAAACATAGGTCCTATGCTATCAGACAATAATATGGTGTCCGGATAGGGCCATTTGCAAAAGCTAAACAGCGCGTTCAGAAAAAACACGCCGTCGCGCTAACACACAACACGCAGTCACGCTAACACACAACACGCCATCGCGCTAACACATCACTGAACAACATGCCGTCACGCTAACACAAGTTCGCACAACACGCCGTCGCGCTAACACACAACACGCCGTCGCGCTATCACAAAGTTGTGTTAGCGAGTTGTGTGACAGCGCGACAGCGTGTTGTGTAAAGTTGCGTTAGCGCGACGGCGTGTTGTTTGAAAGTGTGATAGCGCGATGACGTGTTTTGTATAATTGTGTTTGAGTGATGGCGAGGTGTTGAGCTTTTGCAAATGGCCCTATCCGGACACCATACAATAGTCAAGCTCATCTTGGAATATGGGAGTATCATATGGGATCCCTACACCAGTACGCTAGTAGGTTGTTTCCAGAACGCTAGTATACCAAATGTATATATACTTGCCCACATCCACCACTACATTCACCACCACAGAAAAAGAAGAAATCAATGCTTCTTCTTCTTCTTCTTCTTTTTTTTTTTTTTTTTTTTTTTGATTAACTCGTGTCTGCCTCTGCCATTGGTTTTTATCTCAATCTTTCTGTTTCAAAAAAATATTCAGGCATTGGGCATTGAACTTTTCAATCCCCGCGACCTAAGGATAGGGAACATCGATTTTTTCCCCCATTCTCTTTACTACATGTACATGTAATTCTGTTTATTGATTCTTTTTACTGATTGACCCTTTCCTTCAGTAGCAGATCCACCTGGGCGGGGGACCAAGGGGTCCGGACCCCCCATTGGGTTTTCGGAGTTATAAATTTACATAGTAAAATACATAAAACATAACATTGGATCCCTCCTAGGAGAAAAATTCTTTCAAATATAGGTAAGATTATACGTACATGTAGGAAGGAAAGAAATGAGAAAAGCCCACTCCCCCTCGCCCACGAAATAAGATTTTCATGTTTGTTTTTTTGCACACGCAGGGGATTTTCAGAGTTATTAAACTTATATAGTAAAGTAATCAGAAATTGACTTTGGACACCCCCCCCCCTCCCCGAAAAAGTACCCACGAAATAGGGTTTTCGATCTGATTAGATCAACATGTTTTTAACAAAATTTTAAGACGGATTTTTTAATGAGTTGGTATGGACGCCCTCCCCCCCCCCCCCCGGGAAAAAATTCTGGATTTGTTATTCTAAGACCAAAAATGGCATTCATTAACTTTCAGGGGTTTTGAAAAGACATCAGATGATGCAAAAACCTTGTTTTCTCAATAAGAAATATAAAACTTATAATCTGCTCAAGAAAACAATTCATGATTTTTATCTTACGCAGCTGTAAAAGAGATGGTTGTAGTATTAACATCCTCATCTACAAATATAAAAACAGGGATGTATCACCAGCAGACAGTCTTGTATATTGTATATATAAGTATATTGTGAACTGAGTTATCTGTTATGTCATTTAGTTTACGTACTAAAATATTGATTAAATTAAATTAATAAAAGGAAATTTTAAAAAAAGTTAAAAACTAGGTTACTAGCTTATTCTTTACATTAAAATTATGTACCTACATAGTCCGAAATATCTGACGTTTTCAAGGCTTTTTTTACGATCTTGATATCTTACGTGCCAAAAAAAACTTTCCTGGCACGTAAAATATCAAATCGTTAAAAAGGCAGGAAAACGTTAGATATTTCGGACTAATATCACAATGTGTTTAAAGGAAATGATTGAGAAACCCATATAAGCGTGGTTGGGCCATATTTCCCATAGGATTATAAGATACATTTCTGATGTTTTTGAATGTACCGAATCATCAAGGGAAAGTGGGCAGACGACAGGGACAGAGACCCAACTGATATGTGCTGTACATGAGAACAAAATTGGCAAAACAAAAAAAAAATGAAATAAAATTTGGAATCATTATAATGATGATTTTACTCTTAAATGCATTTAAAAATCTTGAAGCAAAATGTCCCGATGTCTTGAAAATATAGAGGGACAATCTGAAAACCATTTATCCAAATTGAATATGAATTTCCATATTTATACAGGATTCCTAAACTACGTAAAAATCCTTACACAGATGCATAGCGGGTTCCAGTAAATGTTCTACCAAGCCCTTTTCTTTAATTACTCCTCGCTAAAATATTTACAGCAGTAAAGGAGAAACTTCAGGAGTGCTGTACAACAGTATATTTTAGAAGTGGTGTAAATCAGATATGGATACTTAAAAACTCCAAGAAACTTTTAGAAAATTTGAAAATCACAAAATTTTACCGAAAACAATAACATCAAAACGTACGACTTTTCAACACTTTATATAACCATTCCCCCCGATAAATTAAAGTCTATAGGGTTTTTGACATCATAGACAGCTGGGTTTTTTTCAATGAAAATGGAACTCGTAAATTTATTTACCTTGTCATTGGTCATTTGCAAAAATTTTTTTGTTAAAAAACATTCTGATTGTACACTTAAATACCCCGAAGTTGATATTAAAAAGATGCATGAGTTCTGATTGACAATATGTATATAGTTTTTGGAGATCAAGTCTTCTAACAATCTTTTGAAATTCCCATGGGTACTAATTGCTCAGTCCTATATTTGTATTAATATGAAGCAGAATTTATTCAAAAACTTCTACATGAAAAGAAGTCTCTTGCTGAGGACTTTAATTCGACATCTACGACGTTTTATCAATTAACAATATGCATTTGCATTCCTGCGTTCATTTTTAATTTATCTCTTTGAACTCGATCGAAATAGAAGACACCACAGAGTCTGAGACATCTGTTTCATATTTGGATATTTTACTAGAAAAAGATGCCAATGGCATCCTAACAACAAAACTTTATAATAAACGTGGTGACTTTAACTTTTCTATCGTTAAATTCCTTTATTTATGTATATACCATTAACATCTGCATACAGAGTTTAGAATTTATGTCTCCTAGTTGATTCGATATATACGCAAGAGCATGCTGTACATCCCAATAATTTCTAAAACAAGGTAAGCTATTGGTAAATAAGTTAACGATACAAGGATGTCAACAGTCCCGTTTAAAGTCAACATTTTGCAAATTCTATGGTCGATATAATGACCTTATTAGCAAATAAAATCTATAGTTAAGTCAAATGTGACTGACTGTTTTTCATACAAATTGTTAGGCCATCATTTTCACACTGAATTGTCCACGGATTTTTCCGTTTGTCCGATCATGAGCACACGGCGGGTGTGACCGGTCGACAGGAGATGCTTACTTCTCCACGGCACCTGATCTCACCTCTGTCTGTGTTTACTCTGCTCTCAATTTTTATTGACTTTTGAGCTTGATTACTGTTCGTTATCTTCATATTTCAATCAAGAATCTAAACTTGATTGAAAATCAAAAATTTCAATTCAATCAACTTATCTAGCCGATTTTTTAAGCTATCATTTTTGAATTGTATGCACTAAAAACAACTTTGAATTACACTTACAATTTTAGAGAGAGAGAGAGAGAGAGAGAGAGAGAGAGAGAGAGAGAGAATGCCACATTAGGCCACCATAGAGATACTATATATACATGTACATCGGGTTCGACTTCTGATTTAGAACTCTTCTAACGCGAAGATAGATAAGGTCTGAGAAACGAAAAATGGAAACAGGTAATCACTTTTTCACCAACAGAAACAGACGAATAAATGACTTTTCATACAAATAGCGTTTTAAAAGATATCAGATTTTAATCTGAAACATTTTTCACTCAGAAAGTTTCTGTAAACAAATAAGAAATCTCGTTTAATGCATTGAGATCTATATATACGTGTGACGTAATTTAATTGAAAATACAAGAAAATGTGGGAGAACATCAGACAGGTGTTGGTGTGAATAAGAGTATTGGGGGTTTTCTGCGTCAAGTTTTGTAACCTCGTGCTCATGATAGTTTTTTGAGTCGATGCTTGACTCAGGGATTTCCTTAATCAAGTTAATGCATAGTTCATAGTATTTGCAAGGCATGTTTTATAACGTTTCAGAAGTGATCAAAACAGAGGAGAAATCCAATTCTGAGGAAGTTAAACAAGACTCAATACAACAATCAGATCCAGGGGGAGACGGAAATAAGGAAAAAAATTCAAATATTGAGGAAAACCACAGTAGTACAAACTCAGGTGTGTAGAGATTTGAGGGGGAAATACCAACCTATAAGAATCATATGTCTGTCAGTTGCATTACCAGTCTAGACGAACTCCAAAAACAGCGTTTCCGGAAGTAAGAAATTGAGACTGAAAAAGACTCCGAAAATAGAGTCTGCTCATGCGCACACACACAAAAAATGGCAATTTTTGAGTAAAAATGATGGGTCTACAAAAACTGTCTGTGCAAAGTTTTGGAAAGTATGGCAATTATGCCAGTACTCAGAAATGCTAAACAAAAGACGTTGGAAGAGATCGTATTTGTTAGATTTTTGATTTTATTTGCAAAAAAGGAGATATTTACTTTCAAAGTTAACGTTTCAGGTCAGATCAATTACAGAGAAAATGATACGTTTTGAGAAGTAAATATGCATAATAAAAGGGATATACAGCTAAACTTCGAAATCTCGAACACGGATATCTCGAATACCCCGGATATGTTGAAGTAAGGCCGCAGTCCCGACGAAATTTGCTTTATAAATGATTAAAATAAACCCCTCTATGTCGAACACGGTATTGTCGAATACCCCGGTTATCTCGAAGTAAAATTGTGTACCCATTCATTAAAATCACATGCGTTATCTCGAAGTCAGGATAACTTTCCGCTCTGATGATCAAGTCCGTTAGGTAAACTGAATGCTCTATTGATAACACCCACCTGTCTGTCACGTACGGGTTACCTGTGTTCCTGTGATCAATAGATCATAGCACGATAATTATACGAGGTGTATGTATGACTTACCTTGATCTTAATTATGCAAGCCTAAGGTTGCGTGTATTAGTCTTATGCATATGCATGGATGACACGTTAATTGTTTTGTGGCTGGGGCACTTTATCTTGATAATCGCTATTTAATGCTATGTGTAATATGCGCTCTTGCATAGTTTATGCATATGAAAGCGAAAATTATAAACATCAGTGTGAAACAAAATGCTGTAATTTAATGCAATAAGAATTTATTTTTCCTATATGAGTGCGCAGAATTTACAATCGTCAGTACACACCATCATGTGAGCATATGTCGCATTAAAACTCAAGTTGTGGTATAGTGTCCTATGATTCAGCGTTGTTCTGTAGTTAGACAAAAGTGTGTGTTTCTTCTTTTGCATTTAATTTTATTACGGTAAAATATTTTCTTTTAACTGATTATACATGTATGAACATGTTTTTCCAATAAAAAAAAAGTATATATATTTCGTTTGCGTTATTCTGACAGCGACCGGTTTTAAATTTACAATGCATAGAAGATATCTGGTTATGTATACATGGGAACGGCTACATGGGAAACGATGCTAGCGGTTGACTTGCCGGGTTGGTAGAAGGATTATACTTCTGTGCATATTATACAATTTTTTTTATTTTGTGAATTATAAAGAGGATGTAAAAATCTTTTTAATGCTAAATACATGATTGTATATTAAAGAAATCGTTAACAAAATTTCAAACAAGAAGGAATTTTACATGTTTCTACTATTAAGTTCATGTTCACTGCACTAAGTATATTTGAAGTTCATTAGAATTATAACCCTCGATATGTCAAACCCCCGGATATCTCGAAGTTCATCAACAATCCCGTCAACTTCGAGATAACGAAGTTTAACTGTATATGCAAAATGGGACAATATGTATTGTAACTGTTAAAAACTTGACTGAATTTTACACATAAATTAGCATTACGGTTTTTTGTTTGTGTATGACATCTGAATTGAACGCGTAAGTTTTTACCATCATTATTTACCGATTTTTTATCACATACGAACAGATATTATTATGAAAACATTTTTAAAACTATTATCTATCAATATAAAAACTTTAAAAACCACTCTTCTAGATATTGACACAACATGTCTTCTAAAAATGAACATGTTAATATCTCTGCTCCGTGGTGAAAAATGCGCATTTTCTGATTAAAATAAATACAAGTTGGGTGTCTTCAATAATAAATAAAAGCACCTTTATTGTAGGAACGACATAAAATTTAAATCAAGGAGACAATAAATTAAATAAGAAAATATTTCTTACCAGCAGAATTGAATTCGATGTCATATATCCAATTCACTATTATGCAAGAGTTTGAAGCGATAAATAAGTCAATATCCACAAAATAATTCAATAAATGCAATTATCCATTCAACAAAAAATAAAATGAAGTAATAATGCACTAAATACAGCCATTATGCAGCCGTTTATTTGGAGAAAGCGAGCGACAATCCATTGTTTGTTTACATCGGACGCCATTTTGCCGCAATGCATGATGGAGCCAAAGACTTCGTTTTCGGAGTTCACGCTGTTTTTGGAGTTCGTCTAGACTGATTACTTAATATTATACACTTATCCACTGGCTGTGAGTGGGGTAGCTCTTTTATCAAACCCGCGACAGGAACTATTCCCTGAGGGCTTGCCCAATCATGATGAATAAACATGCTATTTTCTTCCAAACAGCCTATACCATGAAAGAGTTTTTATGCTATTTGTCCATTGTGAAATAGTTGTCAAACCTATTCACTGGCAGGATTCAATTTTTCTCAAGTTTCATTGTGAAACATTTTCTGGTTTTTAGTTTACTTGAGCGGAAGTCTCAGGTGAGCTTTTCTGATCAAAATTTGTCCATTGTCTGTCATTATTTTTATTGTCAGAAACTTTTCACAATATCATCTCCTTTCAAAACCACTGTTCCAATTTCAACCAAAATTGCCACAAAGCATCCTTGGGTGAAGGGGATTCAAGTTTGTACAAATGAAGAGCCACAAACTCTTTTAAGAGGATATAATTGAGAATTAGAAAAATTTAATGGCATATCTTTCAAAAATCTTCTCCTCAAGAACCACTGGGCCAAATAAGATGAAACTTACATGAAACATAGTGTAGATTCAAGTTTGTTCAAATCATGACCCCCAGCCACAATAGGAGATCAAAGTTTTACATATATAGGAAAAACTTCTTTTCATGAACAGCAAGGGCATGAAAAGTCATAATGTTATGGAAGTATTTTCAGGTAGTGTAGATTTAAGTTTGTTCAGATCAAGACCTTCAGAGGTAGGTTGGGGTCACAGTGGGCATGATCAAAGTTTTACATAGGAAAAAATTCTTTAAAAATCTTCTTCTCAAGAACAGTAAAGGCATAATTAGTCATATTGATATGGAAGCATCTTCAAGTAGTGTAGATTCAAGTTTGTTCAAATCAAGACACTCAGAGACAGGGTGGGGCCACAATAGGCAATCAGAGTTTTACAAAGGAATGTACTGGGAAAAAAATCTGCTGATGAAGAACAGTAAGACCATAGTGAATCAGGTGAGAATTGTGGCCCATGGGCCTCTTGTTTCTTAATAATGACGTGAAATTGAAAATCCAGTAACTCAAACTTGTTTACCAGTGGACAATGGCAGAATGGTTTCCAATGAAGTATCTGACACAAGTAAACTCTGCTTCAGTATAATAAAACACCTATTTACTGGCTGTGAGGACAATAGCAAGTTTATTGCCCCCCTCGACAGTAACTATTTCTTTCAGGTACACCTCAGGTTAAAGTTGCTGACTTGCTGCCTTGGGGGACAGTAAACTTGCTATTGTCCACATTGTCAGTAAATAGGTGTATAATCTTGATTTCTAGTGGTTCCTTCAAAATATTGAGTTAGGATGCATGTAGACTCTGCAGGTGATATGAGAAGATGTACACAAATTTTGACAGTTGTTAACTTTTCACCTATCTAATGATTACAATCGGACAGTTACAAATCTGATGGAAACTGAGTTTAGGTATTTTGATCATAATACTGAAAAATAAGGGCATAATTAAATGCCTGTCAAAGCTAAACTTAGTAACAGAGAAATAATAAACACATGTAAGTTTAAAAGAAAAAAACGTGACTCATAAGCAGTGGAGTAAAGATCACTGAAAAAAAAAAAAAATAAGATTCCTGCCTAGACCTTTTATTGTGTCCTGCCATGAATCTCTCCAGGGCATTCAGTGTTGTCATATCAGTATTCTGCCCTTGTGTTTGACCATCACACTTTGTGTTTAGCTCTGTTTCAGAAAATCTGTTCAAGATATATTAACAAAAACTCATACAACAATACATATTTGTGAGAGCTATTCAAGTATACATAATTTTCTGACCTTAACCTTTCCTGTGACTTTGATATCACTATTACTTAATTTAAGTTTAGCTCAGTTTGAAAGTAACTTTTAAATATATTTTTATCAAAGCTCACACACTGATACATATTGGTTGGAGATTTTCAACTGTGTGATAATTTTCTGACCTTGACATTTCCTATGACTTTGCTCCTCTATTCCTCATTTTGCATTTAAACTTAAGTTTCAAAGAAATGATTCATAATATTCTCGTTGAACTTCATACAAAGAGAGCTATTCAATTGTATCAGAATGCTCTGACCTTTACTTGCTCTATGACCTTGGCATCACTATTGATTATTTTGCATTTATCACAGTTAAAAAGAAACTATTCATAATTTTTCATTGAAACTAATACACGATACAAAATGGTGAGAATTATTCAGCTGTGTCATAATTTTCTGACCTTGATGAAAATTATATGAAAGCTTCCTGTGGTAGTGTAGATTCTAAATTGTTCAAATGATGACCCCTGGGGGTAGGGTTGGCCATATTAAGGAATCAAAGTTTAACAGTGAAATATAAAGATGAATTTATTTCTGTGCATTTCTGATCGTAAAATTTTCAAATGACCTATTGTTTTTCTAAAAGTGTTGGAATTTTGTTATGCTTAAAAAAAGTTGATAGTTCCACAAATTTAATTTCTACTTTTTTAAAAATTAAATATACCCCAAATTATTTCTTTATACCATATTTGTTTACATCTTTAAAATTGTTCACGGTGTAATTATACACAGTGTGAGACAGAAAAATCCCTCACTGCTGTTTCACACTGTACAAGCCTATCTAACACTGATGATAATGCGTAGGGAAGTTGGTATAATGTAGAAATGTTATTAATTAATGAGTAAATCATTGAAGTGTTAAGAATTCAATAATTGCAAGAGATGAGAATAAAAATTGCTCAATAAATTGGTTATATTTCTCTGTATTAATTTTTATTTTTCAACAGATTCCACAAAACTCGGTGATCAGGATCCCGTAGAAACTGTAGACTTTAAAATTGTGTACAATAAACAAAAGTATGATGTAACATTTCCAACCAATGACACTATTGCTAAGTTAAAGGCTCATATACAAACACTGACAGGTAAACTTTATAAAAACTTTATATACTTTATGTATAATGTTTTTCTGATGGAGTTGAAAAATGAAATAAACATTTTTCAGAAGTATTGGAACTAATCTGTTAATGTCTTTTAACAGGAGTTCCATCAGCAATGCAGAAAATTATGTATAAAGGTAAGATCAAAAGCATATGCAAAAGGTTCTTAAAGGGTATTTCATTTCATATACACTTAGTTTATTGATTTTTTGATAGAATATTCTTACTGAACTAGAGCTCAATTTCAGGTCTTGCAAAAGATGAATCCACACTGAAAGAATTAAAAGTAACTAAAGGTGCCAAGATAATGGTTGTAGGATCTACGTTAAATGATGTCTTGTCTGTCAGTAAACCCTCCCCCAAAGAACTCCAAGAGACCAGTAAATCTGCAGCTGTCACAAAGGAGCCTCTGTCCCAACAGAAGGTACTCATTTGATTCACAGTTATCATTTGTGGATGTTACTCTCATTAAAATGAATGATGTTCACAATTCAAATCAGACAATAAAAAAGAGTTATAGAACTTTGCTTAGTTACTTTGTGTTTCGTTCAGTAGTTTTCAATTTTTAATGTTACTGTGAGAAATGGTTTTGTTCTTTTTTTATGATTGTAATTATTTTTAAGTACACCCAAGATTTTCTGATCAATGTTTGTTTTCTGCCTTTTGTCATCTGTTAGCCTTTTTTTCCTTAAATTTTCAATATTTTCACAAAACTATTGGTCAGAGAAGACAAAACTTAGGTGAAATCATCCTTAATGAGAGTAGATTCAGGTTTGTTGAAATCATACCCCCAGGGGGATGGTGGAGGGGGATGGGGGATTTACCATATGGGTGACTTGAATAAAAAGGAAAAAATCTCTTGAAATCTTCTCAAGAACTACCAAGCCAAAGCTCTTCATAAATCATACATACAAGCATCTTCAAGTAGCTTAGACTAAATAGCTTAGATTCAAGTTTGCTTAAACTGTGGCCCCAGGAGCTAGGAGAGAGCACAATAGGTTTTAAATAGAAATTATGTGGGAAATTTTGAGGAACTGGAGAGCCAGAACTCCAAGAAGTAGTCATATTAATATATGAACCTATCTGGCAGATGCCCAAATACCAGTAGGGATCAGTTTTGCATAAGAATGCATGTATATTGGTATATTGGTAAAATCTTTTAAGATTAGCAAAGCCACAATCATTAGCTCACCTGAGCTGAATATTATTACAAAAGTGTCCTGTGTCTGTCTGTCGTCTGTCATCTGTAAACTTTTCACATTTGTCTTCTCAAGAACCACTGGGCCAATTTCAACCAAACTTGCCACAAAGTAGCCTTGGCTGAAGGGAATTTAGGCTTATTCACAGGAAGTGCCATGCCCTCTTTCAAGGGGAGATAATTAAGAATTCATGAAAATTTGGTGGCATCTTTTAAAAATCTCAAGAACCACTGGGCAAAAAAAGATGAACTAAGGTGAAAGCTTCATTACATACTCTAGATTCAAATTTGTTCATATCATAACCCCCGGGGATAGGGTGGGGTGACAAGAGTGGGACAAATTTTTAAATAGGAATATATAGGAAACGTCTTTAAAAATCTTCTTCTCGAGAACAGCAAGGGCATGATTAGTCATATTATTACAGAAGTGTCCTCAGGTTGTGCAGATTCAAATCTGTTTCAATAAAGACCCATGGGGATACATGTAGGACAGGGCCACAACAGGGGATCAAAGTTTACTGTAGGAATATATATGAAATATCTTTAAAAATCTTCTTCTCAAGAACAGCAAAACCATTATTAGTCATGTTAATATAGAAGTATCCTCAGGTAGTGTAGATTCAAATTTGTTCAAATTATGACTCCTGGGGGTTAGGCGCAGACACAAGAAGGGGCCAAAGTTTTACATAAGAATATATAGGAAATATCATTAAAAAATTTTCTTCTCAAGAACAATAAAGCCATTATTAGTCATATTAATACAGAAGTATCCTCAGGTAATGTAGATTAAAGTTTGTTCAAATCATGACCCCTGTGGGTCAAATTTTTACCTAGGAATAAATAGGTGTAATGGTCAAGGGGCATTGGCATAAAACACATTGAAGTATTCAAATATTGGAATGACCTGACAGCCCTTGGAATGGACCAACCAAAGGGTATATAAGGCAAAGCTTTAGGAAAGTCAGGTATTCAGAAGCTAGCTGAAGAAGTTGGCAGTTGATTCAGCAATAAAGAGGTTAAGGGTAAAAGCAAGTTAAAAGTATAAAAGTTCTAAGCACCAGTGGCTAGTATCCTAGGCAATTGATGTTAAGTTCTGGGTTTAGTAAATTTGAAGAAGATAGAGACATCTGGTTCTTATCTATCAATAGGAATCTAGGGGAGCAACACGGTGCAAGTCGTGCCTTACCCAGTCCCCCATCTCTAGATAAGAGAAAAATATTAGCTTTGTGTGATTTGCCTTCAGACAGAGCAGTCACACAAATCATTAACTTAGAGTAAAAGGAAAACCTATATATCCCTTGTAAGTGTTACATAGGAAATTTCTTCTTCTCAAGAACAACTTAGCCATTATTAGTCATATTTATACAGAAGCAAACTTAGGTATGTTTGAATCAAGTTTGTTCAAATTATGACCCCCAGGGTTGTGGGGCACAATAGAGGGTCAACGTTTTACATAAGAATATATAGGGATCATCTTGAAAAAATCTGCTCAAGAACAGCAAAGCCCCCCCCCCCCCCCCCCTTTGTAAACATACTGAACTGATTTCTGCATTTTCCTAGTCAATGTGCTAAGGTGAGCAATGTGGCCTATGGGCCTCTTGTTTTGATATGCTATCAAGTTCACATACTTTTCTTCAATTTGTGAGGATTGTTATTTCCTTTGGTTCAATTTATTTCTTTTAATTTGATAAATGAGAAATTCCCAGTGTCAAACTCTTGTTTAAATTGAAGGAACATAAAAGAGTGCTAGATAAGTACGGTAAACCAGATGATGTTCCTGTTGGTATCCGGAATTTAAAGGAACCATTACCCCACACACCTATTTCAGGAATGTACAACAAGTCAGGTGGCAAGGTGCGGCTGACCTTCAAACTAGAGGTAGACCAGTTATGGCTTGGAACAAAAGGTATGGGCATCATTTGAACAACAAGATGTTTAAAATAAACATTAGTATTCAGTGCTGATGCACTCTTCTTATATCATCAATATATATTTTATAATGGAATGGAAAATGACTTGTGTGTAACACCATTGCATTTTGAAATATCTGATCTTTTAGCAGAGGTAACTAGCATAAACTTAATGTTGTGACAAGTGAACCTCCCTCCTATTCTATGTATAAAAGTCTTATTAAAGTGTCTTATTAGACACCAGTGAAACTGAAGGGGACTATAGGTTTCCTCCCCATCTGTGTAACCGTTCCTCCATCAGTTAGTCTGTCCCACCTGGTTTTTCAGAACTTTTTATCTAAACACTTGCATGCCTTGCATATATATTATTATAGCTGAGTTTTGGTTTTGTCCTGTTTGCATTTTGTCCTGCTTCAATGATTTTTGATAAAATTATGGCCAATACCAATACTGGACTCGGAATACATTGGACATGCTACATGGTAGCATGTCTTTAGGTCCAAATGACATATTGATGTGTTAATGTCCTGATTAGTCAAATCTCATACTGAATGTGTACATTAATTGGCGTATTCAAAATTCAGCGCAATCAATGGATATGGAGTTGTTGGCAAAATCATGAATTAGCGCTATACATGTCCGTGGCGTATATTGTACATGTATTTATAAATGATTTCTTAGTGGTATTCATGAATTAGTGCATCGTTGTCTGCGCCAAAGCCGCTAAAATACTGTACGTGTACATAAATTGGTGTATTCAAAATTTAGCGCAATCAAGGGGTATGGAGTTGTTGGGGTAATCATGAATTAGCGCTACACATGTCCGTGCCGTGTATTGTATTAGTAAATGATTCCTTAGGGGTATTCATGAATTAGCGCATTGTTGTCCGCACCAAAGCCGCTAAAATATGAAGCCCGCTTTTTTAAGTACACATACAGTATAAAGCCCGCTTTTTTAAGTACACATACAGTATAAAGCCCGCTTTTTTAAGTACACATACAGTATAAAGCCTGCTTTTTTAAGTACACATACAGTATATTTCTACACTTATCTTCCTTTCTTTCTGAGAATGTGACTTAAAAGAAATCTAATTTATTTTCAGAAAGAACTGAAAAAATACCAATGAATTCCATTAAAGCTGTAGTCAGTGAACCTATAAAAGATCATGAGGAATATCATATGCTGGTATGTTAGTCTTCACAAAAGTCCAGGAAAAGTTTAATGGGATTTATGACCCAGTGAACCATTTTCTTTATTGATCTCTCTGTCAGAATTTTTCAGAGTTTTCCCATGTAGATTAATTTGAAGATTTGGTTGTTTACCAGATTACTGGAGTCATTTATATTCATGAAAGTTAACATTTTGATCAAATTTTTCCATGATGTAGAGAGAAAGATAACCAGACATCAATATTTAAAGATTAAGATCACAAAAACTTTGACACAGCAGGGCAGACTTATTTCAGATTAAAGAAGGGGAAAAATCATGAAGATTATTGATAGAACTAGGATCATACAAACTATGTTGTCATTTTCTTTACAATAACTGTGTTGTTTTTACAGGGTATACAGCTAGGACCCACGGAGGCCTCACGTTACTGGATATACTGGGTACCGGCGCAGTATGTGGATGCAATCAAAGACACAATCCTTGGAAAGTGGCAATATTTCTGACCCTCGTTCAGTCACTTGGCATTGGGTCTTGTGCTTTCCTTCCAAACAGCTCAAATGTGCATGATTATTAAAATGAAATATAGAATCTATTTACCAGGTTTTTTTGTGAATCTGCAAATGCAATGAAATTGCATAAAATGTTTTAATTGCTTGAAGATTTCTGGATTCCTGGCTTTCTTTTTCACACAGACTTGACCAGATAACAGTCTCATTTGTTGTGATATTATAGGGTTATGTTTATTGGCATTAGATGTTAGTGATTATTTGTATGTGGTGGAAGAATACCTGTTTTACTTCATCATGTTAATTTCACACCTTTGAAAAAAAAAAATTCATTCCAAATGCTTTTTTTTGTATTTTACATAATTCTTATCTTACAGTGAAAGCTCTTGCCAGAGAACGCTACTACTATTAATTAGAACATTTGTGATACCAATGTTTTAATTTACCAAAGGAAGATAAGAAAAGTTGATCTTTATTTGTACCTTCTGCCTAATTTAAGTGTACAAGAATGATAATGTAATTTCAAGAAAATTCCTGCATTAAAATAAGCAAGCCTTTTTTGTTTATATGTCTCTATTTAAAATAAAAGGTTCTGGTTACCAGATCTAGCTTCAGACTAAAGGTGGATTTTCTGACACAAGTTCATATATAGACTATACATGTAGCGGTCATTTAAAATGGGGAAAAATCTCCTCACAAATGATGTCCTAAAAATAGTTGTAAGGACATTGGCACAGAGGAGTGACTGGTTGTAATTCTAGATATGGATATTAATATTAAAGGACAGAAATAAGGCTCAATATTAATCAAAATTTGTTAAAGCTTATTATATGTTCACACACAGAGAGAGGGTGGAGCTTATGTCACACTAAATAAAATCATACACTGTACCAGTATTGAGACATACAGCTCTAAAACTGATTTCTCAGTATTAGAGTTATGTGATTTGATGCCAAGGTTTTTGAACTTCTTTTTTCTATATATAAATGAAGACAATTCCTTTATTTTATGAAAGTTCACGTGTTTCACTCTGTTGATCTTGTTGTGAAAATGCATGATTTAAAAAAAAAAATCTTCTCTCTCCTTTGCATCTAGCAGGCTAATCAAATACATAGCTGTAATAAGCTAAGGTGTTTTAACCAGATTTATGAAATTCATTACCATTTGGGTTTGGATTCTGGTGCTAGGACAGGGCTCTATTGATCATGTAGGGAAAGTTTTACTCTGAGAGGTTATTTCCCTTTGATTATTCCCTATAATGATAAATCACTGTAAATTATGTAATTAATAGGTCAAAAAATGCATTAAAAATACAAGAAATTATAATGTTTAATACAAAAAATACTTATATAGTTTTTATTGTCTGAAAGACTTGTAATTAAAAAATAAGTAACATTACTTAATTTTTACTATAAATATCTAAAGAGCAGGACAGTCCAGTTGCATGGAGGGTGGTGACTTTGTACTCTTTCCTGATATGGTTAAACAATATTTATGATTTGTGAGAGTGAAAACTCAGTGGCATACATACATGTAGGCAACTAAAAGATTTACCCTCAGAGTTATTGCAGATTACCAGACTAACCATATTGTTGATCCTTGTTTATCCTATCTCTATTATTTTGGAGCAATAAATCTTCCTCTTACAGTTTATTTTGATTTATTTCATAATTATTTCTATTCTTTGGATCCTTTACAGGGTTGTAATATACCCAGGTGACCGTTAAAGCACTTGGGTCTCTTGTCATAAGAAACAAGGGAGAAAATATGAGATGGTGTAAATATAAATAAATGAAATGCAATATACGAGAATCACCTCAAGAGTATTTTAATAAAGTAATATTCACCATAGATCGACAGATTGATACCGAATTGATTAATTCTTAAACCGAAAAAATCGTATTTTAAATATGATGTTAATATAACGTTCAGCCTCAAGGGCAAATATTTTCAGGAGTTCGCGTTGTAAGAGATTTATTTTCATTTCTATTTCTATTTCAATTGATTAATTTGTATCGTTATCTTTGCAGTCGAGCTAGAGTTTTACGCTATTAATACCACAGGATTGGCATCTTTTTAGTGTAGTAATATGTAGTAATATAATTTTATGTTCTACAACGACCTCAATTTTATTGAAGGAATGAATGAAATAAAAAAAGAAATTGGTTATTATTGCTGTTTCAAATGTTCAAAATCGATAAACAGTGACTAAAAGTCAATCTAATTTTCACGAATAAAAAAAATCAACGAATGTGTCTCTTTTTTTAACTACAACTTTGAAAGGAAAGAGAGTCATGGTAGAAAGTCTTGACCTCTTTATAAACACACGTTAAAATGATGCGTGCGGTTTTTTTTTTTAATTTATTGATTACCGATCGACCGCGAGTGAGCACATGCGACGCCTTTTCGATAACGTCATACTTGATGACGATCACTCTTTTGCGACTAAAATTTGTTTTCAATCTTATTTAATGTACTTCGTAAATGGCTTTTCTTCTTGGTCATACATTACTTTGGCTGCAAAGAGCACAGAATATTAAAATACATGCAAATTAATTGATCATAAGACTTTAAAATAAGTAATATTTATCGAGTGTTTTTTTTCTCGGCATTTAAATAAAAAGAAAGATCACGTATAGGCCATACGTAAAGTATAGTAGCCCATAAATTTATTGTACTATGGATTATTTATCATGAGTATGTTTAAATGAGATACTGTTTGCACAGGAACCTGTTTGGTCTTTTATTTTGTTGAATGAATCAAAAGGAATGGAAACAAGTTCTACTTACCGGTTCTTCTCCTTAGATGTATATAAATATACAACAATTGTATCCTGGAAAATAATTCATAGACATCTGGATTTTACAAGAATTGCGAGTGATACAAGTAGAATTGTTAGATAACATAACAATTAAATCTACAGGTGTCATCAATAAATTTATGGACAGCAGCAAAAATAGTGTTATTAATATTTAATGGCAAATTTACGTCACCCCATAACAGACTTGTGTCAATAGTGACCAATCCATCAAGCATGAACAGGAATAGGATAATCTTTACAAGGAAAAAAAATAATTAAATACATCTTCGAATATACCATAGAAAAATAAAGTACTTTTGATCATATTGCTTTTATATAGATCATAGTTAATTAAACAGTTGTGTAATATATGGAGATAACGAACAGTATTCAAGCTCAAAAGTCCATTATACAATACAAAATAGGAGCAGAGCAAACACGGACCTCCAAACATCAGAGGTGGGATCAGGTGCCATGGAGGAGTGAGCATCCCCTGCCGACCGGTCACACCGGCCCTGTGCTCCTTGTCATGATTGGGAAATAACGGAAAAATCCGTCGACAATTCAGTGTGTAAATAATGGCCTAACAATTAGTATGAAAAACGTCAGTCAGTATTTGACTTAATGATAAATTGTATTTGCTGACAAGGTCAAAATGTAAAAGGTGAAGATAACGAACAGTGATCGAGCTCAAAAAATCTACTACGATACAAATCTGTGAACAGGGCATAAAACACGGATTCCGGAAATTCCAAGGGTGGGATCATGTGCCTAGAAGGAGTAAGCATCCCCTGTTGACCGATCACACCCACCGTGAGCCCTTTGTATTGATCAGGTAGACGGAACCTTCCTTAGTCAAATTTAATATAAAAAGGCTTAACACAAGGGGTCCAGCCTAAATCCCTTTGCAAATGCGTATTTTCCTTTGCAACAAACAAAATGGCGTAGTCGAAGCGAGGATCGTCACGGAGGTCAGTAAACATTACGATATTTTTTATGATTCTTGCATTAAAATCAGTACCAAAACCCAACCTTTCGGTGAAACATTTATTCTTCTATTTTGGAGACACTTTCTTAGATGTTCAAATGAAATACAATAAATTCTATTGAAATAAAACCACATGCCTTGCGAACTTGGATTGATACTGTTGAGGGTATACGGTTTATTATATTGCCGAATAAGTGCCAAGTTGCAAATTAGAGAAACTCGTCACATAGACTACAACAAGAATTTTTATGGAAAGATTATTTTCTGTGACAAAACGACAATAATTTGTACAACTTTCAAGATTAAGTTAATTTAGGAAGTATTTTCATTTGCAAATTGTGGTTTAGGACTTTTTTTTCCTGTGCAAAACAATTTCTTCAAAACAGGCAACGAAGTTAAGGTACCCATAAGATAGGCAGAGCATAATTTATGCGGGAAATGTTTTCTAGGACACCACACAAAAATAACAATTCTTCAAAATATTAGAAAATGGAAAAAAAATGCGAGTTTCAACATTAAAATAAACTACATCAATACTTACTCTTACGTGCAGTTTACTCAAGTTATGAACAAATAAATGATCGCGTTGAACTTGTCAACGTGACGTTATTATGGTACAATCTGACGCATGAGAGGTCACACGTGAATCCAGGAATTTTTTCCAAGAGGTAGGGGGGGGGGGGTGTCCATTTCAACTTATTTCAGCAACAAATTTCAGACTTTGACATTTCTGACAAGGAAAAAAAGGGCAAATGAAGAGAATAACTTAATTAACCTGCCCAAACCTCTGAAACTTTATTGAAGGGGGGGGGGGAGTAGGAGAAATTACTCTCATTAGTCAATTTTCTTAAGATACACGACTCTCCTTGCTGTGTTTAGAGGGATCCATGTTTCCTTGGGGGTCAAGGTCATTTTTCTTTACATTTCCAATGCATAGAAATTTAAAATCTATGAAAATTCGGGGGAGGGGGGTCCCGACCCCCTTTATATCTTGATAAGCCATAAATTTGATTGTAATGCTTTTTCAACATAATTCTATTCATGTATTTTCTCTGCATTTGAAAATAAGCAGCTGGTTAAGTGATGCGGCCGTATCTTTGTTTGAAAATACATGAAAGGGTTATAATAAATCTACATATTGGTGTGCCATACATTCAATGTACATGTATCTTTGAAAGTTTTTTAACATAAACCTTAAGGCATTATGTTAAACTAAAAATGCTGCGAACCTGATGAAATTTTGGAGATAAGTTTTATATTATTTATATTACTGCAGCTGATCAGAAAAGTTAGCACGGGTGTGGTCTTATAAAGATGATTTTTACAATCAAGTACGTGTAGCATTTGTCTAGATTCGTTGCATTTTTCATAAGACAGAAAAAATGCATCAGATATTTATAAATTAAACTTTGAATTTTATAGATGACTTCAATACTGCAGGTATATCTAATTCCACCTGATTGCCACATCACGTGACCATCTAAATAAAAAAAAGAAAGAAAATTATCGTTCTTATTACCGGTATGTAGTTTTATCCATATTTTGTTTGCCAATTATTGGTAAAGTTTTAAAAAAGAATTGCCCTTCCAGGATCTAGGATGTAATTTTCTAATAATAGGAATCCATTAGCTGCATTGCACAATAAAAATTCAAAAATTAGGAAAATCTTGAATTTAACGTTTTTAAAACTTGTTGATGAAAAACTGACATTTTTTTTTATGTGTCTGATTTAAAAAATATACGTTTTGTGCATGTTACAAATCTGTAT